ACGAATATCTTTATGGTAGGACATTTTCTTTGATTACTGACCACAAGCCACTGCTAGGAATCCTGGCCAGAGACAGGGCCACCCCCAACATCCTGTCTCCAAGGATGACAAGATGGTCGGAATTTCTTGCAGCCTACAATTACAAGCTCATCTATCGGCCAGGAAAAGCCATACCCCACACCGACGTATTGAGCCGCTCACCTCTACCAGACCACGACCACGACCCAGCTCCCACCACACACACCCTGCAAATTGAAACGATATCGAACTTGCCCATCACCGCATCGGACATTGCAAGGGAAACAGCAAAAGATGCACTGATGGCCCGACTCCTGAACTGGGTGGGGAGGGGCTGGCCGGAAAACGACAAAAATGAGATTTTTAAACCGTTCAAAAACCGGCAAACTGAGCTGTCAATTGAAAAAGGATGCATATTGTGGGGGGGGATAGGGTTGTTGTTCCATGAAAATTGCAAGAAGACGTGCTGAACATGTTACATGAAGGACACCCGGGCATGGTAAAAATGAAGTTCCTGGCCAGAAGCTACGTCTGGTGGCCAGGAATAGACAAAGACATTGAAACCTGGGTCAGAACATGTAACAAATGCCAGTCGTCCAGACCTACCCCCCCCATTAGCACCGGTCCTTGACTGGGAGACACCCAGAGGCCCCTGGTCAAGGATCCACATAGACTTCGCCGGACCCACAAAGGGATATACATATTTAATCATTGTTGATGCCTACTCGAACTGGTTAGAGGTCAGCATCATGAGTTCAACAACGACTGAAACCATCCCTAAACAACTAAAGAAACTCTTCGCCACTCATGGTCTACCAGATGTAGTAGTATCGGACAATGGCCCACAGTTCACAGCTTTAGCTTTTGAACAATTCCTCGCAGAACAAGGAATACAACATGTTTTGACAGCGCCAGCTAATCCGGTGGCGAACGGAAGGGCGGAATGCATGGTTTGATACACAAAAGAAGTATTAGAAAAACTTGAAGGAGGCGACATGCAAGACAAAATCAACACCATGCTCACCATTCAACATATAACGCCGTGCACATCAACAAACAAGAGCCCAGCTGAACTTTTAATGGGCAGAAAATTGCACTCATATCTGGACAGACTACACCCCACCTACAACCCCGAAAAGCCACCAGACTCCTCCAGTAAGTACCGCACGTTTATACCAGGCGATCTGGTATACGCGAAAAATCTTACCGGAGACCCGTTGTGGTTACCGGCCATGATAACGCAAATCACAGGCCCCTGATCGTACCGGCTAGAGACAACCAACTGCAGAACGTGGAAAAGACACATCGACCAGCTACGGTCTCGACACATCGAACGCAACACTGACACACCCTGGAACATGGAGCAAACACATCCACAAAACCCAACAGACATTAATAATAAAACCAGAGGGGGGGGGACCCTTAAATAATAAAGGAAAGGAAAACCCTCCATTAACAAACCACCAACCAGAAACTGAAAACCCAAAAAGAAACTGCTTACCATTTGGCGAAGTCGAAAGAAGAGAGCTGGAGGAGAACCAAGGAAGGAGCAGCCGAGCCGACTCTACCTGCCCGAGCATGCCAGCAGGGAGCGACAGCGTCCGCCCAACCAAACCAACCAAGCACGGTGGGAGTGGCCTGGCTGACTCACCCTTCCAGGAGCTTCCAGAGAGAAGAACAGGAGAGACGGCGGGCCCGTCCGAACCTACCGAAGTCAACACAGAGACTGAACTGCGCAGGTCAACTAGGACCCACAAAAGCCCCGCCTACTTACGCGACTACATCATGTAACCTTGGATCAAACCAAGAGGGGAGGGGTGTTATGTATTGGTTTTGCATACTCGTAATACTGCATTCCTATTGGACAGACACTGCCGCCTAGCGATTGGTAGATAACAGTTCTGATTGGCCGCCTAAGCGGCGGGAGTTTTAAATAAATGCCATTGGTTGCGAGCCACTATAAAAAGGGCTGCTGCGGCTTGACTTTAGTTGAAGTTACTGACAGTTTAATAAAGAGCTGAACTCAACTCCGGCCTCGAGTCTACTTTGTTCTGGCGATAGAGCACTTCTCATTTAGAGAACACTGAGAAATTGTTCAAAAGTGTAATTTCTAGGGAGGAAGCTAAATTTAGCATGGAACAAATGCTACTTTGCTCCACATCCAACCCATTTTCCTCCTCTCTAGGTGTCAAGGCTGGTCTCCCTACCCACTTAAGATAAAGACCAGAGTGATAGGTATAATAAGTGTTAATTTAGCAAGTTTGCAACTTGTCTGGAATTATTGACTTAAAACTCAAATGAATAATGGGCACAAGTGATTAGTCCATTCCAGATCATTTCAAAACTTCTGATTGTCATTGTTAAATAAATGGGATCCAATTAAGCATTTCTGCTTGGGAGTGAGGCTTACTAAGTGACTCAAGGTCAGTTTGTCTTCAACCTTAACACCCCTCGAAGAATTGTGGTGATAAATTAGAGCCAGTGGATTTATGCAATTTTTTTTAAATGCTAGGAGGCACAATGTCTACAACCAATAAATATATTTTTCCAAATTATTCAGCCAAGTCATTTGATTGACTGATTAGAAAAAAAAACCTATTGTGAATCACCACCAAAAACAAGTACTGGTGGCTTGTAACACCTTTCAGAACACTACATTTAAATGAGCACAATATTATATTACTAAAATGAAACAATACTTTAGAACATGCATAGAGCCAAAGATATAATAGACATTACAAAAATAAAAAAAAAAAGGAAAACAGAAATAAATGACATAATAACAACTGAAACAATCTTCTAAGCAATTATGTTTAATTATATTTATAAAATGTCATTAAATTGTAGCTGTTATTATGAGAGGAGGGAGAAATATTCCATAAAGCGAGCACAACAATCCCCAAAATAATACTTGTGAACCTCCATCCCCTGCTTACCTTGAGAAAATTGGGGGAGGAGGGTGTGGCATTAAAAGGATTTTCTAGGACATCCATTTTGGGTATATGGGAATTGGTTGAAGATGGTTTTGGATCCTTATTTATTGTAGCAATAGCAATAGTATTTAGACTTCTATACCGCTTCACAAAGTATTTTTACAGCCCCCTCTAAGCTGTTTACAGAGTCAGCATTTTGCCCCTAACAATCTGGATCCTCATTTTACCGACCTTGGAAGGATGGAAGGCCGAATCAATCTTGAGCCGGTCAACATCGAAGTCCAGGCAGTAGGTAGAGTCAACCTGCAATACTGCATTCTAACCACTGAGTCACCATGGCTCCTAGATATTGAGTAGATATTCCTAATGTTCCTTTTCCGAAACAATTCCGCCTATCATAGTAATTTTGCTATGGGTTTTTTTTCCTAGCGCACATTTTAAAAAATCCCAGAGACAGATAATCAACCCCAAAGGAAATCAACCCTGCCTTTTCTTTGGAAGGACAGATATTTAAGCTGAAGCTCAAATGCTTTGGCTACCTAAGGAGAAGAGAGGACTCCTTGGAAAAGACCCTGATTGTTGTGGTTTGCAGGAAGCCTGTGCAGACGGCAGTGGAATTGGACAGTGGGGAAGAACGGGGATCAGTCCCGGAGTCTGAGAAGGGCTTGGATGAGGGTCCTGTGTCCGATGCAGAGATGGGGCCAGGACCATCTGGGAATGGAGTGCTGCCTCCGGAGCCTCCAGATTCTAGCAGCAGCAAGGCAGAGGAACAAGGGGAGCCTGTTCCCAGTGCGCATGTATGCAGAGCTACTAGAAGGCAAGAGCAGCTGAGACAAAAGGAGTGACTCAGGAGTAAGGCTTGGAGGTGATTGCCCCTCCCATAAGGTATAAAGGACAGGCAAAGGTGACAAAACCTTTGCAGGAAGCAAAGTCATTTGTTCTGTTTGGATTAATCCTTGAAGCTCTGTGTGGACTTTGTACTTCGGTTGGTTTTTTATAGTTCATTTGGCACTTTAGTTCTTGGCAGCAATTCAAAGGAGAGAAGGGACTGTTTGGGACTCAATACAGGCTGGGAATGAACATAATTCCCAGCATTGAAATAAAACAAGAGTTGCTTTAACTAAATGTGTGCTTAATTACGGTCTCAGGAAGCCTTGGTCAGAACACTGATGTTGGGAAAGATGGAAGGGAAGGGGACAGCAGAGGATGAGATGGTTAGATAGTGCCATCAATGCAATGAGCATGGATTTGGGCATGTGGAGGAAACAGTGGACGACAGGGGTGCCTGGCATGCTAACATCCTTGGAATTGGGAAGGCACAACTTGTGACTGAAACAACAAATATGTGGGAATAGCTTTCAGAGACAGGGATGTGTGAAAGAGGGAAGAGAAGGAATGGCCAGAGATGCTATCACTTTCTATTTCTCTACATTCTAATAAGGTAGAAGATGTTGACCTACCACCCAGAAAGTAGCTTGAAGAATTTGTGCTACACTACATCCATTTCTCAGAAACATGAACCATTCCTATGGCGACCTTGAGAAGGAAATGAAAGCCTGCTTAAAAGATCAGAGAAGATCAGTATTACCAAGCCTTCTCTGAATAATGTCACCTCTGATCTATCACTGTTGTATCTTGCCAGATGAAGAAACATTGGCTGATGTAGCTATAAAAGCAGCTATTAAATAAAAAGATGCAGAAAAGAACAGCCAGTCCCATTTTCACTCATGTTTCTTCATAAAAACAACATTCTTCTCTCTCCTTCATCCCTCATCAACTCTTCATCAGCACATGATTCCAAGATATCTCAAGAAGCCCTTCACTCCAGTCTGTTTATTTTATTTATTTAGTTGTGGTTGTTTTTGACAACAGGATGCTGGTGATAAGTTTTTTTACAGATGTACCCTAGAAACGAACCAATTGAATTCCTTTCCAGATACTTTTTTTTAAAATGTTCCCCACATGACTCATAATTACATTTTGCAAGCTGAAGTTCAAGAGTGTGAGAGAGAAAGAAACAGAAGTGGACAGAAGTTATTTTGACCTCCCCCTGTGATGAAGAGATCTTTGGTACAGTCCAAGATTTCAGGTTAAGTTTGTTTGTTCCGGGGATCTGCAACTCTCTCTGCATGTTTTCCTGGCGGGACAGGAACTCGATGGCTTAAAGTCATTTTAATTCAGGTGAGTTAATAGTATTGAGTTGTATCCTGTTAACTTTGTAGGATTTCTTCCTTGAAAATGCAACATTTATTAAATTGAATCTTCTAACATATCAGTTGGGACTACCAGCACAGCAGGACAAAAATCCAGAACAAGAGTTGGTGGCAGTTATATCTTTAAAAAAAACTGACTTTGTTATCCCAAATGGTTATTTGAATTTTTTAAAAGTTCAGAAGTGGAGCTGAACTTGTTTAAAAAGTGACCAAAAATAGTTCATACCAAGCGCGGAAGACTGAAAATCCAGCTTTAGGGCAAAACCACATTTCTGTAGAATTAAGAATCTGGCTGTGAAAAGAGGATTATGTGTTGATTTTACTAGGGAATTGTTTACACAAAATTTTGTTTGCCTCTAAGGATAGAAAGAGAACAATGCAGCGAGACTGGGAAGTGTTTGCAGAATATCATCTGTGTTCAGGCTACAAGCAGACCTTTGTTTGCTACCTCTAAAAAAACTACCTTAACCACAAGGAGATTTGCACCCTAAAAGTTTCAAAGGACAACTTCACATACCTCTTCAACTGAAACAACAACAACCTTTGAAACACAGAAACTATGGGAAGACAGATTTGCAGGTTCATCTGTGTTTTCTCATAAGTAGTTCTTCATAATTATTGAGAGGAATGTCATACATCAGAAACTTCAATAAAGGGTAGCTTTGTTTGTGCAATTATACACCACAATTTCCAGATGCAGATTTGTTTTCAGATTTATTGGTTTCATATTGTAAATTATCTGCTTTCCCCCCTTTTTATAATGAAAAGTGACCTATAAATAAGAATTAATAAATGGAAGTTGATATCTTCTGTTAGGAAATATCTAGGTTCATACATTGCTCTAAGCCATAATATTGATTTGGTTTAAGTCAGCATATTCTTGAAAAACAGCATCTAGGATTTGCAAATTGTAGTTTATGGCAGGGTTGGGCGACCTGTTGTCCCCAGAAGTAGAGTTTGCTGGGCACAAAGAAATGAATTCAGCACAAATTCATCACTGAGCCTTAAATTATATACAAACCACTGAATGTTAATGGGACAATTTAGGTTCTTGCAGGGTGGGGAGAGGAACAAGTTAGGATTATGAGTAGGGTTTAGAATGTTGTGCAGTTCCTGCTGCTGCTGCTTTGTTCATAGAAGTTTAGTTAAAGGAAGCATGGATTAGTGCAATGTGACAATCTAGCAGTGAATGTGATTGTTACGTTCATAAAAAGAGTGATTGTCAAATCATGGTCAACTCCAAAAAAGATTCTTATGGCAGAATCAGTTCTGCAGCTGCAGAAATCAACTTCTTTTGCTTCAGTGCTTCTCTGGGATGGAAATCAGAAAATGATCTATAATATCTTGCCTCCCATTGATTATACCAACTTGGGTTCAGTATCAAATGGAAACAGGAGGGATAACTGAATGCAGAATAACAGAGTTGGAAGGGACCTTGGAAGCCTTCTAGTCCAACCTCCTGCCCCAGCAGGAGAGCCTCTATTTTTCCAAACAAATGGCTATCCAATCTCTTAAAAGCCTCCAGTGATGGAGCCCCCACAACTTCCAGAGGCAAACCATTCCACTGATTAATTGTTCTCACTGGCAAGAAATTTCTCCTTAGTTCTAGGTTGCTTCTCTCCTTTGATTAGTTTCCATCCATTGCTTCTTGTCACACCTTCAGGTGGTGGAGAATGGCAGCCTCTCAAATATTGGAAAGCTGCGATCATGTCGCCTTTAGTCCTTCTCACTAGATTAGACATACCCAATTCCTGCAACCGTTCTTCATGTGTTATAGCCTCCAGTCCCCCCTCATCATCTTTGTTGTTCTTCTCTTTCTAAAGTCTTGACATCTTTTTTATATTGTGGTGGCTAAAACTGGATGTAGTATTCCAGGTACAATCTTACTAAGATTTTATAAAGTGGTACTACTTCACATGATCTTGATTCTATCTATTAATGTAGCCTAGGATTGCGTTGGCTTTTTTGGTGGCTGCTGCACACTGCTGGCTCATATTTAAGTCATTGTCTACTAGAATACCTGTCACAATTACTGCTATTGAGCCACCTTTCACCTAATCCATACCTGTGCATTTGGTTTTTCTTGCCTATGTGTAAAACCTTACTTTTACTACTTGGATTGCCTTACTGCATCCTGTGTTAAACTTCAAGACAGACACATGGGTTAAAATAAGCTAAAACTAAGGGGAGGAGAAGGAAATAGAGGAAAGAAAAAAATTATATTAAGAGTCCATCTTATTTTCACAAAAGAAAGGCATTTTACAAATTGATCAAGAATGCACACAATATCTTGAATCTATACTTTAATCTCAGAAATGTAAATTTCTTTCCAAGTGAAACAGTCTCCACTTACTACAATTCTTGACCTTTGAACCAGATTTGGACTTATCGGTCACCACATAGACCAAAAGTATTCTATGTTAAGATTCTACTTTGCAATTTGTCAAACATTTCCTTTCTCTGTGAAGGTTACTTTCTTTTTACTCTATGTTATGCTTGAGACTTTTTCTAAAATTTCTTTTGGAAGCCTTATGCCTAATACCTCCTTTCATCACTCCATAGCCCTTCCTGTATCTGCTCATTCTTCCCAATCTGAAATATTTTATGGATCTGCTCCTTCCATTGCTATTCGCTTAAAGGTAGAAAAGTTAGAGAAGTCCTATAGAATCAGGACCTTCCTAACTTTCAGGATGGTGGTGAAGATATATACTTTTAAGAGGACAAGAGGTATTTTCGGGGTAAAACAGATTATTTCCTTTTCTTACTTTCCAAAAACCCATCAACAAAATTCATTCTATAACTCTTCCAAATAACAGAGTTGGAAGGGATCTTGGAGGTCTAATCCATTCCCCTGCTCAAGTAGGAGACAAGTGGCTGTCCAGTCTCTTCTTAAACTCCTCCAGTGATGGAGCACCTACAACTGCTGGAGGGAAGCCGTTCCACTGGTTAATTGTTCTCCCTGATGGGAAATTTCTCCTTCCTTCTAGATTGGATCTCTGATTAGTTTCCATCCATTGCTTGTTGCCTTCAGGTGCTTTGGCAAATAGATTGATCCTCTCTTCCTTGTGGCAGTTCCTTAGATACTGAAACACTTCTATCATGTCACCCCTGGTCCTTCTTTTCATTAAACTAGACATATCCAATTCCTGCAAGCATTCTTCGTATGTTTTAGCCTCCAGGCCCCTTTTCTCAAAGCTTCAGAAAATTGGACTAGTGAAGACTTTGTCCCTAAAAAATTAAGTTAGAATGTATTTTTTTACTTCCATTTAGTTGTGTCCGATTCTTGGAGATGGCCCAGACAAATACCTGCAGTTTTCTTAGCAAGGTTTTTTAATGGGTTGCCATTGTCTCCCTCCTAGAGAGAAAGTGACTGGCCCAAGGTCACCAGCTGGCTTTGTACCTAATGCAGGAGTAGAACTCACAGTCTCCTGGCAGGACTAGAACTCACAGTCTCCTAGCCTGGTGCCTTAACTACTCCACCAAACTGTCTGTAGTGTTATTGTACCTACCCTTAGAATACTATCTTGGTAGACTGAAGAGAATTTTCCCTGGAACTTTTTAAATAGCCTCTTATGTATAAAATAGATTGGTAGTTTGGCCAAAGCAGGATTTTTAATAATATGCCAGTGAGTTTATTGCCAGATAATAAGCTCCAAAATACTCAAGAGAACAATTTCATGTTCCATTTTTTAAAAATATTGATTTGGTTTGTGCCTGCTTTTATTCTCCACCCCATCTGGAGATGTGCGAATCACTAACGATTTTATCTGATTAATATCAGAAAAATAACCTTTTGAGTTCTACATGACACTTTCCCTATGGGCTTAATTCATGCAGAATTTTGTACCCAATTATGTTTGTAAAGTCTCTGGGTGCATTATGCACCTGCTCCTAATTTACATATCTTTTAACATAAATTAAACATTGAACAACAGGAGATAGTCCTGCTTTCATTGTTTAAGGCTTATTTTTAAAATCCAGATTTCATTGATTGAATTCTTTTTCTAATTCTCACTATTTACATGCAATTTTCAGTGATAACAATTCCTTTCCTAAACAATTTTTATGGATCTTTATTTAAGGAAAGAAAAAACTTAGCACCCCGATCTGAAACTAGCCTTTCTGCTGTTGCAAAATTTGATGGGGCCAGTATGTCGATACTCTTACTCACGACCAACCTACTCAGCAATGGATCAACATCTGAGAGGCCCTGACAAATGGCCAGCTCAAATGTTCCCCTGATGCATAAATCAAAATCCATTTTTAATACAACTTCTACTCTATCATAACTATTGTACACTTTTTGTATTTCTAGCAAGCTGGCTGGTGGATTTTTCTAATATTCTTCTTTTAAGCAGGCTTTCCATAAAAACCTTTTCTGCAAAGGAGTTTTGTATAAATGACATTTTGTTGTACTCAGCTTCACAAGGAGTTGCACACTATGGAAATCATGTCCTGTGATTGCAGTTTCTTAAAGCTATGTGTTGCATAGCAGTGGCCCAATCAAATTGGCAGTCACCTATTGCTATATACAAGATTTTGAATGAAGACTCATTGGACAGTTGGGGGTGGCATGGATAGAGGTGCTGGAGAACAAAACTGAGTGTGATCCAATATTTGAGGGGTTGCCACAAAGAGGAAGGGGTCAAATTATTTTCCAAAGCACCAGAGGGCAGGACAAGAAACAATGGTGGGAAACTAATCAAGGAGAGAAGCAACCTTGGAATTAAGGAAAAAGTTCCTAACAGGGGCAACAATAACCAGCTTGCCTTCAGAAGTTGTGGGTTTCCTTTGTCACTGGAGATTTTAAAGAGACTGGACGGCCATTTGTCTGGAATGGTATAGGGTCTCCTGCTTGAGCAGTGGGTTGAAGACCTCCAAAGTCCCTTCCAGCTCCTATTCTATTCTGTTCTTCTACTCCACTCCACTCTACTCCACTCCACTCCATTCCATTCCATTTCTACAAACCTAGGCTAGTCTGCTGTTTTGTGGTGAAATAGAAGTTGCTTTCCCATCATTATTGTGGAAATAACCTGGTTTATTTCTAGTTTTTGTTTGTAATGGTGTATATGTATATCATTTTATCCTTTTGTTGTTATTCAGTTGCTAAGTCATGTCCAACTCTTTGCGACCTCATGGACCATAGCATTCAATTCCCCCCCACCTCCAGTGTCTTCTGGAATTTGCCCAAATTCATGTTCATTGTGTCGATGACACTATCTAAATCATCTCATCTTCTGCCGTCCCTTTCTCCTTTTGCCTTCAGTCTTTCCCAGCATCATTGTCTTCTCCAAGGAGTCCTCTCTTTTCCTTAGATGGCCAAAGTATTTGAGCTTCAGCTTCAGGATCTGCCCTTCCAAAAGGACAGTCAGGGTTGGTTTCCTTTAGCATTGACTGATTGGGATCTCCTTGAAGTCCAAGAGACTCTCGAGAGTCTTCTCCAGCACCATAATTCGAAAGCATCAGTTCTTTGGCGCTCTGCCTTCCTTATGGTCAACCTCGCAAAGCTGTACATTATTGCTGGGAAAATCAGAGCTTTGACTATATGGACTATATGAAGGTGATGTCTTTGTTTTTTTGTCCAGATTTGCCATAGCTTTTCTCCCAAGGATCATTTCATGGCTGTAGTTGCCATCCTCAGTGATCTTGGAGCCCAATAAAATAAAATCTGTCACTGCTTCCATTTCTTCCCCTTGTATTTCCCAGGAAGTAATGGGACCGGATGCCATGATCTTGCCTTAGATAGCAACATAGTTTTGGCTTCTCCTGCTGATCCATTTTGGAATTGGGCGGAAAGGTTGATTGTCCAAATTCTGTCTTTTATTAAAAATACAATCTATTATCTACCAGAGAGGTTGAAGCTTTATAGGAGATGGAGGGAGATGGGCAGTTAAGAAATATGGATAAATGATAGAGACAGACAGACAGACAGACAGACAGACAGACAGACAGATGATAGACATGAGCGATAGGGATGGATGGACAAATATACAGTAGGGGAGAAGAAGAAATTACATTAATTATTAGATGTACAGCTCTTCCTTAGTGTGTGACCATCATCTGTGCTGCACTAATATTTGTCTGATACCATCCATCATCTAAGATCAATTGTGAAATGATTCTTTGCTCCAGTATATAGGCTGCTAGTTGAGTCAAAATGATTTTATGACAAGCTACTTCTACAAAACAGCGTATCCATTTTCTTCAGACAGAGACCATGGGTTCTACCTCAGCCAAGCCCTTTAAAAATCAGAAGTATGAAGACCTCAAGCGACAGTGCCTTGAGCAGAAGAAGCTCTTTGAAGACCCTGAATTTCCTGCTACTGATGTTTCTCTCTTCTATCTTAATCCACCACTAGCAAATGTGAAGTGGAAACGCCCAAAGGTATGTGAGATATCAGTCTAGTTGCCCCATTATTTCTAAATCTAATTTTTAAAGAACCTTGTTCTTGCTCAACTTTGTTATGTGCTCAAGCTTTGTGCTGTCCATTTCACACCTCACTATCTTTAAAGCTTTCCTATCATATCTGAACCAGGGGGATGTTTTATCCTGTGGTAAGATGAATTTCGGAGTTGCTAAACCATAGCTGTACCAGTACAAATTAAAATTCCAAAAAAGATTACTTACAGTTGTTTGGACAATTGAAGAAAAATATCCAGTACATTGCTTCAGAATTCAAAACTCAGTTGCTTTAAAACTTGATCAATTTGGTAGATTGCCCTAATTAAATCATGAGCTTCGAGCTTCAAAAGAATCCAAAAAATTTACTAGGAGCAACATGTCCAGCATTAACCTATATGAGGTTAATGACTCTGACACACGTAATTTACAGTCACCTGTGATGCTGTTTCCCCTCTCCCCCTTGAGTGTGTCATCAATCAGATTCTCCAATGAAGCACATTCGTGGGCTGGATGTCATCAATCACGTTCTCCAGTGAAGGATTTTTGTGGGCAGAAGGTCTGGTGCCTAGGCTGCAATCTTTTTAAGATAAGTGTGGAATGCACTTCTGGTTTTAATTGCCGATCTGCTCCTTCAGGTTTTTTTCCCTCTCCTGCTTATGGCAACTCAGAAACAAGCATAGGAATATTTTACGAGTTGACATTTGGTTTGTTTAGTACTTGCCATTTTTAGTACTCATCATGGCTCCCCAAACCAATTAACTACGAGTACTGAGATACCCCTGTATAAGGTTCCATGGGCTAAAGACAAAGAAGCAAAGACAGGTCCAGGAGCCAAGATAGATTTGAAAGAATATCTAACTTTAGCTGTAGTTTTGGTACAAATATTTTGTCACCTCTCCGAAATTCAAATATGTTGGTGTTGCTTATGTGGGCTGGGCTGAGCCTATGAGTATTTTGCTTTCCTAGATTAGTGGATACTAATTGTGATTTAAGTCCCGTGCTACAATCTGATTTAGTTGGAACTAAGGCTTATCTTCCCCCAGGAAAGCACCTAATGAGTGATTATGACAGTCTTTATTTCTCCACTCAATGAGTATGATTATCAGATGGGTCTCATTGATCCCATTTCAAGATTCCAATCCCACTCTAGTATTTTAATAGTTCACTGATATAAAGATGAGAGGTTATGCTCGCTTATTTCTCTCTGCTTTCTCCAGATCAGAAGGAGAAAAGCATATTGAGATTTTAACAATCCAGATGGAAAATTACCTTCTGCGTGCTTTGCTTTTCCAATTAAGACATAAAGCTGAATGCAAGAACTAATGGGAAAGGCTGGTTCAGATCAGAAACAGAAATGCAGTAACCACAATTTTTTTTTTTTTTTAGATGGCATGTGGTATCCATCCCCACCCATTATTTTTCTTCCCCGGATTGTCTTTTAGGCCGCTGTTTAGAAGCTCCACATCTGATTATGTTTTTGTCTATTTGAATGCCATTTTTGAAGGTTTGTCTTTTGACATCACTTTTGATATTTTGGGAGCAAATAAAACATCAAAATACAAGTCACTTCTATGGGATATACAGTTTGGTATACAGGTAGTCCTCAACTTAACAACAGTTCATTTAGTGATAATTCAAAGTTACAATGGTACTGAAAAAAGTGACATGACTGTTTTTCACACTTACAACCTTTGTAGCATCCCCATGGTCACATGATCAAAATTCACATGCTTGGCAAGTGATTCGTATTTAAGATGTTTGCAGTGTCCTGGGATCTCACGTGGTCAGCTTTTGTGACCTTCTGACAAACAAAGTCTATGGGGAATCCAGATTCACTTAACAACCATGTTACTAACTTAACAAATGCAATGATTCACTTAACAACTGTGGCAAGAAAAGTTGTAAAATGGGGCAAACTAACTTAACAAATGTTTTACTTAGCAACATAAATTTGGGGTTCCATTGGGGTCGTAACTCGAGGATTGCCTGTACAGCCAATTCATTTTATGCAATCTTTCCAGAGCAGTTTTTTTTGGCAATTTTCTTAATTTTTTTTTACTCTTCTAAAGCCAAGGAAGTGAGATTGGCCTTATTCATGAAAATGCATATGCAACTTTGAGGTTTTTCCTTAATAGCAAAACTGCCTGCCTGGTTTGCTTAGAGCAGGGGTGTCAAACTTGACTTCACCGAGGGCCACATCAGTGTTGTGTTTGACTTCACAGGGCTGGGGCCGGGGTGGGCATGACATCACTCGTGTGGGGGCACCTGTGGCAGCCTGAGTGCTTTGCCAGTGAAAATGGGCTCCCAAGTTCCGTTTGGGCTGCGACTGCCTCCTGCAACCCTCTGCCAGGGAAAATGGAGCTCTCCCAAGTGCAGCCCTTCTGACGTCCGTTTTCGTGGGCAAAGGCACCGCAGGCCAGTCCTTCATTGTCTCCAGGGTGGCCCTGTGGGCCAGAGCTAAGTACCCTGTGGGCCCAGATACCCCTGGATTAGAGTGACACTAACACTGGTTCTTTTTGAAATGCTTCCTGGAATGATCACATGATGTGTGCTTGCATGCTCAGTTAAAGAAGTGCTGAAGAACAAAAGCAGTATCTGCAGGGAATCCCAAATAACTGGAACCATTTTCTTTCTTTTAAAAGAAAGAAAAAACCAAGAATTCATTTTTTTTTAAACCAAGCCAAAATGTTTGCAGTGGGAAAGACAAATAGTGGTTAGACTTTGATCTTTGCTAACATTCATCCTACCAAGAATTCACTGGGAATCAAACAACTATATCTGTTATCAACAGGCACAATTCTTTTACATTTCTGATCGGCCCATGTTTTAAAAATGTTTCTCACCTTGATAATATATTCTTCACATTCAGCTAACTAGGAAGGGGTGAAAAGAAATCTGTCTCTCATATTTTCTCTATGTAGTTATCTAGGTTGCACCTCCTAGACTTACAGGAAAAAAATGAACATGTGGTTTGGCTTAAAACTATGTTTTTAAAAATCTGCAATGTTTTTTTTTAAATATGCATGAATATATTAAAGTGAAGTGTCTGCAAAATGCTTATAAAAATTGTCCTCACTGACTGACAACAATTGGGACTGGCAATTCTGTCAATAAGCAGTGTGGTTTTTATGTGAATATGATCTGGTTCTAAGGGTCTTTGTAACTTCTGATTAGAACCATCAAACCCAAATTTCATCTTACAGAACAGGTTTCAGATATTTTTGCTTTATAGCATCCCCGGAACCCGTTACCTTTATCTCTCATTATCCTATTTATTAAAAACAAAGGAAAACTAATCATTTACAGGTAGAATTGTACATCCACAACTGAACCCAAAATTTCCATTGTCCACTGGCATAACAAAAATTAGGACTCAAGCATAATTGATCCAAAGCATCAATCAGACAGTTGTAAAATGAGTTTTGTCCCATTTTCGGACCTTTCTTGCTATAGTTGTTAATTTAGATTCCCCATTGACTTTGCTTATCAGAAGGTCACAAAAGATGATCACATGATGCAGGGACACTGCAACAGTCATAAATATGAGTCAGTTGCCAAATGTGTGGATTTTGATTAAGTGACCATGGGAATGCTGCAACAGAGTGTGAAAATGCTCATAAGTCACTTTTTTCAGTGCCATTGTAAATTTGGCCACTAAACAAACTGTTGTAAGCTGAGGACTACCTGTATTTGAATTTCCCAGTTTTCCCCAGTTTCATTTCTAGTCTACTATAAGTTGGATTGTCCAGTTTAGGTAGAATATGACGTTTTGATTTTCAGAAATCTGTCCTTTCTTTGCTGAATAGCTGGAGACCAATCCATCAAGGAGAGTTACTTATAGGCTCTGCCTTGTTTACTCATCTGCACTTAATTTAACTGTTGATTCAACTCAGATTGTAATGCTTTGTGTCAACTGTGTTTAGATCCTCATTTTTGTTATGCCAGTGAACAACATGGCATAACTGATTTTGTTTGTAGGCAGTTTCTGGAATTAGAACAAAGGGAGAAGCTTTTTTTCTACATTCCGACTCTAAACCCTCAAAACATCTATTGTCCTGTGGGTTTGGGGGAAACAAGGAGGCTATTTCCTTAAATATGAGCCAGCTGTGAGCTGCAGCCACCCAAAAAACCCAATGCAGTACTAGTGCACTTGGTGGCCACAATATAAAAAAGATGTTAAGACTCTGAAAAGGGTGCAGAGAAGAGCAACAAAGATGTTTAGGGGGCTGAAAGCTAAACACATGAAGAATAATTGCAGGAACTGGGTATGGCTTGTCTAGAGAGTAGGGGTGACCTGATAACAGTGTTCCAATATTTGAGGGGCTGCCACAAAGAAGGGGTGGTCAATCTGTTCTCCAAAGCACCAGAAGGCAAGACAAGAAGCAATGGATGGAAAGTAACCAAGGAGAGGAGTAGCCTAGAACTAAGGAGAAATTTCCTGATAGTGAGAACAATTAACCAGTGGAACAGCTTCAGAAGTTGTGGGTGCTCCATCACTGGAGGCTTTTAAGAAGAGATTGGACAATCATTTATCCAGAATGGGAGGGTGTCCTGCTTCAGGAGTGGGTGGACTAGAAGACCTCCAAGGTCCCTTCCAACTCTGTTATTCTGTTATGTTCTGTTATTCAGTAACTTGCAGCTACTTGTTCTGTTCCTGCATATCTTTTGATACGTGTTTTGGTTAAAATAAAAGCTGCCTTTTTGAAGAACCTGCAATTGTGGACATCACAATGTTTTTGATTGCTGCTCCGGGCATGTTTACTTGTCAAGACACTTTCATTGAGTCTCCTTTTGTACCTTATAAAGTTTAAAATTTTATTGCAACCTATTTAAAGGTTTATATGCTCATTATGTGTGCATTTAACATACTAATACTAATTGAATTGGTATGCGTCAGAAACCACTTCTACATCGCTGCCAAATATCATTCCTTTTTTGGATGAATCTTTGCTTAAACAGAAAAGAAAGCAACTCTTGAAATA